CAGCCAGAGAAGTTGGGGGGAATCAATGCAACTGAAAACTCAAAACACCTTGCTCAAAATCAGGACTATCAAGTTGTGATGGAGCCTAGTTTCTTAGACTCCTGAAGCATTTGGGGGTCTAAGCATTTGATGCTGCATCAAAGCTGAAAGCAGCTGTAGGCCTTGCTTCTACCTCCAACTCATACAAGAGTTTAATTCCCAAAGATGCTGTTAATGCTATCAGACCCTGGTACATCCTAAAGTAAGAAAACGCTACCCAATACTTCATCACACGTCATCATTAACTCGATTTATGAAAACTAATGGGAATTTATCACACCTCACTAAGAAATAGATATTTTTCCTTATCTTCGGTTGTTTTCACAAATCCTTGAGAGTTAATGTCCTCTGCTGAAGGCCACAGCCTGCTTGTGGCCTAGGGTCTGCTAGTCAGCCTCATCTCCTAGGCTGTACTTGGCAAAGGCATACAACAGACTTAACAAGTAGATCTTGAGTGCTGGTGACAGGAGCAAGAGGAGCTAGAGCAGAAGGCAGAGATGGTCCTGAGAGTGACAGCAATGATGCTTAGTAACCCATCTGCATCTGGTGGCCTCGGTAGCCAGAGGAAAGACATTGTGGGACAGAAATCTGAGCACACAACACCTTCCAGCCAGCCTTCCCTATAACGGTTACTTGTATTGACACGAGGATGTAAATACCCAACTACACTCCATCAGCTTTTAACACTCAACACCTGAATCCCTGTCCTGTGTTAGAGAGAATGGCTTGGAGGTGGAGACAGTGAAAGGGGGGCCTGGAGCCAAAAGGCCAACTCACTCACTTGCTAGTTGTATGAGCCTGGGGAAATTGTCTCTTTCTGACCAATCAAGCACGTCTAACTTTACATCGCACACTGTAATAAAACAAAGAAACACAAGCAAGAAATTCACTACAGAGCAAAAGCACATATCAGAGCCTGTCTTATCTCCACAGGCCACCTCAACCAGTCCTGCCACAGGCTGGCTCCCCAAGAGCCATCTGCCTTGCAATCCTGCAACCAAAGGGAGCCCTATAATGTATTCTCTGTGATTCCAGACCATGGACAAATAGAGGGTTGCTAAGTATTTGTTGAATGGGCTAAAGAACATAGGAGAGTGCTGGAGAGATGGATCTTGCAGAAACCTGGGTTCTACATGGCAGATCATACTATCACTCTAGGTGCAGGGATCTGACGTTCTCTTCTAGGCTCTGCAAACACTGCATGCATGTGGTGTACAGACATACTTGAAGGCAAACACTCATTCATATTGTATATTTATGCATATATATGAGGTTTTTAAAGTTTGTATTATGTGTATACACACACACACACACATAGACATAATACAGATAAACCTTAAAAATATGCAATTGTGGCTATATTTTCCAGAGGTATTGACTGACCCTCAAAAGTCTTCTCACTTCTTGTTTCCTGAACACCCTCCCAAGTCTTCAGTATATTGATACTGGTTTAAAATGCTGTAACACAATCATAACGTGTTAACATTTTTATTTGAAAACCAATGAATTGTTTATAAGTAAATTTGCCTCCACTATCTCTTTTAATCAACACTGGTATTCTGTGGAGAATAATGAACTTTACAGTAGTTGTGTTGGTGGTACAGAAAGGTCCAGACCAATTAATGTACAAGGCAAAGACATTTTGAACTGAAAGGAATGTAGAAATTCACCCTGTCCAACTTCCCAAAGAGAAATCCATAATGCATTATTCTCTCATTACAAGCTCTATTCCTATGGTACTTATAACAGTCCATCTTATTTTTCCTATTCTTATAATAATATTAATTAATTATAATAATAATAATCTTATTTTTATAACTTATTCTATCCTAGTCTTTCTCTTTAACAAGCTTTAAGCATTCCCATAACACATCAGCGGAAGAGAGGTATACCGCCTGCTGGTGACAGCTAGACCCGACCATACATCTGTCTGGTTAGAACATAACTTATAAACTCCTCCAAGGGAAAGGAAAAAGAGATGTAACATTCTCAGGCGACACCCGCATCGTCTAGAAAAGATAAGACTTTTATGTTTAAATTACTAAACAAATTCTATCTTGATCAACTTAAGTGTCAAGGATACATTCTGCATTCCAAAAATCAAAATACCTAATCCAAACAGATATTATCTTGTCTCAGTTTAGAAGCCAGGAAAGAGAACAGAATCGTTCCTCCCACCTCACACTCATTCAACCAACACATCATCCGGGGCTCTAACTTCACGCCAGGCACCAAGCCAGGCCGGTACTAGGTGTAGCACGCAATTATTTAGGATTTGCAAGTTATCACTCTCTCCCTGAACCAAGAGCAATAAAACCTCTGCCTTAAACATTAAGACAGGGCCTTCGCCTCAGCTGTCACCTCAGCCGTCACCTCTGAGAACATTCAAGAAATTAACTGCAACCTCTAAGATCAGAGAGCTCCCTGCATTCATCTTCTCATGGCAATCCCATTAGGAGCTGTTAAAAATAGTACACACACACACACCTCTTTCTTCCTTCCTTTCGACTTACCCCAAATAAGAACAACTAAGTGATGATACCCAACTAAAGAACAATGGATAATACCTCCACACAGCTTTTCTTTCCAACATAACGAAAAAGAAATGCAGAATACTTTCAAAGAGAAGAAAGGACAGCACACACCACACCATTACTCCCTTCAAGGGCAAGAAGAGAGCACTTCCTTGAGCCCACTCGGTAAAGCCTGTAACCCAGCTTGGAATGAAAGAACCAGATTTTTTTTTTTTAATTCTTTGGAAGATAAGTAAGTAAAAGAACTTATGGATCAATTTACTTTACAGATAAGATCGCAGGCACAATCAAAGATATCGATCCTGTATTTGTCAGAAACGGGATTTTAAATAAACACTCCACAAAGATGATCCATGAGCAAACAGGTAAACCTAAAGCCAGGAAGAAGGGAGTGATATAGCTCGCCCTTGTCTATGAGAGTTGAGCAGCATTGAAAAGCATAAGGAAGCTCCCCCCGGTTGCTGGCATGAGTTTGCTTCCCCTCCAGTCCATTTAATAGCGAAGGACTCTCTTCGGTACTTTCACAGCACGCCTGACGCACTCATAAAACCTGAACTGTTTCCTCTAAAATTTACTGTCTGCCCCTCTGAGTATAGCCAGTGACGGATGGGACTGCTTCGCTGCACTTGAGAATGTTTAGAAAGCATAGTGAAAGGGACAGAACAATGACTTTGTCCTAAAGCCACCGAGGAGCTGCGGCATAGCAGGTAAAACAAACAGGCCAACTCAAAAGCAGGACCCAGGGATTGTGACCTAAAGTCTCAGCGTAACCTTATGCCCACAAATATTCAGCCACCCATCCTGAATCGAAGTCTTCCCGGTGGAGGTTAACCTGTGTCATTTCTGATACTGTTTTCCCTCAGTTCTTTGGGTAGGCCTGGCACCTCAAAGACAGTGATGTGATGCAGTTCTAACATCAGCCTCAGCAAACATGGGAAAATAATGAGAACCCCTCCTCTGAATTCCTCTTGGAAGCACCACTGAGTTAGGGTCCCAAAATTAGCTTCCAGCGGCACAAGTGATGGATCCTATACTTTCTTCTTATCTGGAAATTTCGCTCCACAAACTGGCTTTTATTGGGACAGATTACAAGAGATAGCCATAGCACACTGTATGGGATAAGCTCAATCAATCATTTTATTTTGAAAACAGTCTTCCGGACATATTTGAGAATCATCAACCTACAGCGCACCTTGTACTTTAAAGAATGTTCATAAACAGATAACCCACTTAAACTGGCTACAGCAAAAATGGGTAACACCCCTTTCTGACGAAGCTAGAAGTTGCTGCCATAAATATGTATGTAAACAGCAAAAGCAAATCTCAACTCAGAATCTTTGATTTCGGCTTCATTCTCCAGCCCATGCATGTACTGGTCTCCATCCTTGCCAGAAAGTTCATCAAACTATGAAGCCTCAACGGGAACATATATTCCTGTGTATCTAAACAAACCCTCATACCCAGGTAACATTACAAAGGCAGCCCTCTCCTTCTTGATCTGGAAAACGCTCGGTCTTTCTCCGTACAGCCTCAAGTGTAATTCCTAGAAGGCACTGGCAAGTCTCTGCCAGGCCAGTCTGCAGTGGAAAACCATGTGTCCTACAAGATGACAGGAGGGCCAAGGCTTCTAACCCTCTACTTCAGCTCTGCATGGCAATAGCGGTCCAGTCTCATGCCATCAACACAGTAATTGTATAGGATCGAACACTGCTCCTGTCAAAGAGAATCTGCTTGACCACAAACAGGCAGCTCTGTGGAAAGACAGTTTCTGGAACAAAAACAAGGCTTGCACAATTCTAGAAACAAGGACAAGTGTTCCGTTCCTGCGCTGTGCTAAAAAAAACTTTTCCCACCTAAACTTCCCCAGCACACGGCTGACTGAAACCAGGGTGCCAAGCCGTGCACAAAGCAAAAGCGGCGTGCACCACAGGCAATGCCTGTCCCTGCCCAATCCTGATCAGACCGGGTTGCAATGTGGTTTAGTCCGGTCTACTTTCTGGTAATGTGTTTTTAAAATCCCGCCTCAACCCAGGTCATTCCTTTAGCGATCTAATAACAACCAAATGACCGGACCTGCGGGGCACTTAGCGAGCCATTCTGCTTATGGCTCTTTAATAGCACCCGGAGTCCTGCTAAGGGGAGAGCGGAAAACTCCAGTTTCCCCGGAAAGAAAGTCCTGCTCCGGGAGCGTGGAGAGGCGCGCGGAGCGTGGCCTCACTACCCGCAGCTCCGCCGGTTCCCGCCGCGCCTTTACCTGTCAACCCGGCCTCCCCCGACGCCGCCCCTCAGAGCCAGCCCCAGGAGAAAGCAGCCCCAGGCATCCCATCCCAAAGAAAGAAAGCCAGCCGCAAGGCTGCTGCTCCAGGCGGGGGCCATGGGCCACCGCGAGATCCGAGAGGCGACACGCCACCCGCGTCCCGCACCTACCAGATAATCCATGTACAGAAACGCCTCAGTTATCCGGAGATCAGACATCCGGCAGCCTAAAGCATCCGGAATGGCTCCGAACCCGGAAAAAAAAAAAAAAAAAAAAAAAAAAAGCAGCGTCTCGGGCTGCGAGCGAGCAGCTCCTGAAAAAGCCAGCAACAGCGAAAAGAGCCGAGAGGAGCCGAGGAGCCGAAGATTACACCAGGGGAGCGGCGATTGGCCGGGAGGGCGGGTAGAAGGAAAGGAGCGCGCTCATTGGCCGAAGCGCCTATAAAAGGCAGGCCCCCGGCGGATGGCCGCAGTGAAGCGCGGGATCCTGTAGGGTGCTGGTTCCTGCGTAGGGGGGAGGGGCGGGCGAGCGGAAGAGCGGGCCGGCCCGACCCTGAGAAACGCTCTGCAGCCGAGCGAGCTTCGCGGGCTCCCTCGGCCAGCAGGCGCCTGGAGACCCCGCGAAGCTCCCAGCCTGAGGCTGGAAAGCGGCGGTGTCCCCGCCCCACCCCTTCGTAGGAAACCGGCTCGGGGCGTTGGGAGGCTTGGTAGCCACCGAAACTTACTTTCTCTCCCCCTCAGCTCTTTCCTGTGGCCTTGAGGCACCAAGGACTTGCGGGTTAGAAGGGCGGACGCCCTCTAACAGCAAGCTGGGGGGGGGGGGGGGGGCGCACGCAAAGACGCTCCCTGCGTCTGCTAAGGCGGACAATTTGAAAGTGATCTTGCCGCTCTGAACCAGTGCATTCCGGAGGCATTCTTAGAACCCTAAACAACCTCGGGAGAAGTCGCGAGTAAGTTGTTCACCCCAAACACTCGGGTCTTTGCATACGTTTAATAAGTCCAGTAACATTGGCCAATATCCAGTGTCCCTGAATAAAAACGAGCAGAGGGGTTGCGAAAGCCCTTTAAAAGACCCAAGTAATACTATTTGTGACTCTTTATGACTCTTATTTTAAGAAGGAAAATACGTCTAAGAGCAAGTGCGCTTGAGACGTGTGTGTTTCCCAGTAAATAACTTGGAACTGGGTGAAACCAGAGTTAAACAAGAATTTGCTGGGTTTTTTTCTCCTTCTCCAAGATTCAGGCTAAAAAGGGCAAAAATGAGAGAAGATAAGCATGCCCTTTGGAGTTGGGTATGGTGAGAAAATATAACTCATTACAAAAATGAATGTAAAACGTGTGCCATCAGTTTTGTGGCAGAAATTCCTTTTCTAGAAATTCATAAGCTAAAAGTTGTGGTCAGTGTTATAAGCGAACATTTGCTGCAGTGTTTAGAATAGAATCTCAGTGGGTGTGGTGGCGCACACCTTTGATCCCAGCACTGAGGAGGCAGAGGCTGGCGGATCCCTGAGTTCCAGGACACCTACGCTACAGAGTTAAGTTCCAGGACACGGACACACACACACTTAAATGATTTGTTAACATGGCACACTTACACAATACAACTTTATACAGCTGCTAAACATTTATGCAGTTTCATGATATGGTGAAGTTTATAGTGAGGTCATATTCTTCACTAAAATATCACCTGTCAAAGAAATATTCTAGATGACAGAATTTGAAAGACCAAGTTGCAAAAGTACAACTCTTTATTTCCTGCCAGACACAGCTATCCTTGAGGGCTGAAATGACTGAAGCTTCTCCTTCCATCACCCCCACCACCTACAACCTTTTAAGAAGAATAAAGGAAAGAGGAATTGATGTCCCCTGTGTTGGTAAATAGGGCTACCATAGCTAATCACATGTCAACTGAAATCTTTAGTCCAAATGTTACAGGAGGTTGGGTTTCTTACTCCAGCCCCACCATTTGACACTATATTGTGTGTCCTCAAGTAACAGATCTCCTTGCAAGTTTACCTCAAGGCAGTGAAAATATTTCTGTTATAGAAAACCATAGAATTCATCCTAAATAAACGCATAAGCAGGAAGGGTGTGTAGCCCCTTCTCCCCGTTCCTAAGCCGCGTGACTAAAAGCACTATCTAATCTCTGAACCTGTTTCCTCAGATACAAAATGGGGATTCCTACAGGCCGAGGATTTTCAGGGTAATTAGAGGATTTAGTGTATATACACACTTGTGCAGGCCTTGCCTTTACTGATCCAATTTCCAAGGTGGATGTGAGTAAGTAGTAACTTCTTGAGAAGAGAGGGTGCTTTGCTTTGCTTTGCTCTGTGCTGTTTTCAATCTACTCAAGGTCTAGAGAGTCTCAATTCCGTTAAGTCACTAGATCCCATTTTTTTTCTTTGGCATTCAGCATTCTGACTGAGTAGTCACATGTAATTTTATAAGGATTTTTGACCTGGATTCTGAAGGTGAAAGACTCCCATAAGCCTAATCTTTTCATAGCTGGTTGAAATTAAAGATATCAAAAGCCTTTCAAAGGTCTAGCAAAAGTAATTCAGACAAGGAACAATTTGTTTTTTTCTTATTTTTTGTTTTCTTTCTCTCTGTGAAAAAGCATATCCCAAATGAGATAAAGAGTTTGAATTAGCAAAGAGACAAGTTTCTATCCATGTCTTAGCGATTATGGAAAGTCACAAGAAGCCTGGTGATATCTATGAAGAAAATGAGCCCTTGGGAGGAGTTGGCTTCTGCCTTTCCCTTGGCAGCTAAACCGGAAAAGATCATCAGGCTAAATAGTACTTTTTGCTGCTGCTAGGAATCAGAATCAATAAATGGACCCAATGCAGACACAGGGAAGAATCTGTTTACAGAATAATTCTCAACTGTATCCTTATACTACTTTAATCTACCGTATGATTGTCATCTATGAAAACTTCATGTTCAGTCTCATGTATTTTTCAAATCCTGTTTTGCATTTTGGAAAAAACCTTGCCAAAAAAAACTCCATATGGAGCATAATTTTTCAATTAGGTGTCTTCTGAGATGGTAATATAGTTCCACAAAATAGGGGAGAAAGAGTAACTTCATTCTGATGGTTTGAGGACAAGCCACTACATGAAGCAGTGGTTGTAGCTGATGAGGTGGTCAAGTAGTAAGGTCCTTTAGTTACATCTTGGAAATAATGTTGAACCAGCCCTGCATCTCTGGAATGAAGCCAACTTGATCATGGTGGATGATTTTTTGATGTGTTCTTGCATATGATTTGCCAGTATTTTATAGAGTATTTTGTCATCAATGTTCATGAGGGAGATTGGTCTATAATTCTCTTTCTTGGTTGAATCTTTATGTCGTTTTGGTATCAGGGTTACTGTAGTCTCATAGAAAGTTCGGCAATGTTCTTTCTGTTTCTATTATGTGGAGTAATTTGAGGAGTATAGGTATTAGCTTTTCTTGGGAGTTCTGGTAGAATTCTGTGCTAAAACCATCAAGCCCTGGACAAAAATTGGTTGAGAGGATTTTGATGACAGCTTCTATTTCCCTGCAGGTTATAGGTCTATTTAAATTGCCCGCCTGGTCTTGATTAAATTTTGGTATGTGGTACCTATCCAGAAAATTGTACATTTCTTTTACATTTTCCGATTTTGTGGAGCACAGGTTTTGTAATATGACCTAATGATTCTCTGGATTTCCTCAGTGTCTGTTATGTCCCCCTTTTCATTTCTGATTTTGTTTATTTGAATGTTCTCTCTCTGCCTTTTGGTTAGTTGGGATAAAGGTTTGTCTATCTTGTTGATTTTCTCAAAGAACCAGCTCTTTTGTTTCATTGACTCTTTGTGTCCTTTTTTTGTTTGTTTGTTTGTTTCTATTTTATTGATTTTAGCCCTCAATTTGATTATTTCCTGTCATCTATTCCTCCTGAGTGAAGTCTGCTTCTTTTTGTTCTAGAGCTTTCAGGCATGCTCTTAAGTCACTAGTGTGAAATTTCTTCCCTTTCTTCATGTAGGCACTTAGTGCTATGAACTTTCCTTATAGCACTGCTTTCATAGTGTCCCATAGGTTTGGGTATGTTGTGCCTTCATTTTTGTTGAATTCTGGGAAGGCTTTAATTTCTTTCTTTATGTCTTCCTTGACCCAGGGGTGGTTTAATTGAGCACTGTTCAATTTCCATGAGTTTGTAGGTTTTCTGCAATTAGTGGTATTATTGAATACTAACTTTAAACCATGGTGATCTAATAAGATACAGGAGGTTATTCCAATTTTTTGTATCTGTTGAGTTTGCTTTGTTATTGAGAATGTGGTCAATTTTAGAGAAGATTCCATGAGGTGCTGAGAAGAAGGTATATTCTTTTGTGTTTGGGTTAAATGTTCTTTGGATGTCTGTTAAGTCCATTTGAGTCATGACATCTGTTAGTTCTCTTATTTCTCTGTTAAGTTTCTGTCTGGTTGATTTGTCCATTGGGGAGAATAGGGTGTTGAAATCTCCTACTATTAGTGTGTGATGTTTGATGTGTGATTTAAACTTTAGTAATATTTCTTTTACATATGTAGGTGCTCTTCTATTTGGGGCATAGGGGTTCAGGATTGAAACTTCATCTTAATGGATTTTTTCAGTGATGAGTATGAAGTGTCCTTCTCCATCTCTTCTGATTGATTTTAGTTTGAAGTCTATTTTGTTAGATATTAGGATAGTTACACCCGCTTGTTTTTTGGGTCCATTTGATTGAAAAATCTTTTCCCATCCTTTTACTCTGAGGTGATGTCTGTCTTTGAGGTTGAGGTGTGTTTCTTGTATGCAGCAGAAGGATGGATCCTGCTTACATATCCATTCTGTTAACCTGTATCTTATTTATAGGTGAATTGAGTCCATTGACATTAAGAAAATAAAACAACTCTGAGATACCATCCTACGCCTGTCAGAATGGCTAAGATCAAAAACACCAATAATAGCTTATGCTGGAGAGGTGCAGAGTAGGGGGAACACTCGTCCATTGCTCATGGGAATGCAAGCTTGTGTAACCACTCTGGACATCAGTATGACGGTTTCTCAGAAAATTAGGAATCAAACTACTGCAAGACCCAGCAATATCACTCTTGGGCATATACACAAAGGATGCTCAACCATACTACAAGGACTTGGGTTTTTTTTGTTGTTGTTGTTGTTCAACTATGTTTATAGCAGCATTATTTGTAATAGCCAGAACCTGGAAACAACCTAGATGCTCCTCAACAGAAAAATGGACAAAGAAAATGTAGCACATTTACACAA